TTTAAGTGGTAAATAAATCTCCACACGATTTCAAGCGCTGCTGCTTGACCAGCCCCGATGAGTGTGCAGGTATTTAATAGCTAAAACAGACAGACGTGGTCACATTAACGCTGCCACCCAGCCTGGAAATAATCGGGATCATTTCACCACAGCACCGGGATTATTGCTCCAAAACTCCTCAGCTTCTTTCACTTCACTCCACAGAGCGAGTCCATCAGGGTGGGATTTTTTAGGCATGAATTAAACCCAAATATCTTTCAGCCACTTGCCTTGGGGTCTTCAGGCTCCTGGTTACCTCATATACAGAAAAAGGGGGGAAAAAATGCCTGTCCACTGGTTTTCTCACCCATTCCCAGGCCAGGATTTGTCAAGCTTAAATCACACACCGTGTTGTCTCCAGCTCAGGGCGCAGCAGCTTTTGAGGGCCGTGTATTAGCACGACGAGGCAGAAAAAAGACTTTAAAAATTAATACAGTGACATAAATATCAAATACTATGGAATTCTCAGCTGGATTTACAAAATCAAAGACAATTCTGCCCCCGGTACGTCACCCATTGGCTACTGCCCTTTATCTCCTTTTTTTTTTTCACTGTGCAATGACCTTCTGATAAGGACGTGCCAGAATGTGCCTGAGAAACGCTCAGGCTTTTGAAAAATAAATAGATACAGGACAAAAAAGGGCAACCCTGTGCAAACCCCGCTGGGGAGGCCGTGGCAGAGGTGTCCAACACCTCTGGACCAGCTGGAATATGACACGGTGTCAAGGGCCGCCTCAGAAGGGGTTCAACACCAACCCCGTGCCCTGGGAATGGTGCCACAGCTCTCGGGCAGGTGAGCCCAAAAACAGAGCACAGGTTTCATCCCTGCAGCAGGAACTCTTCTGGCACTTAAGGCAGTAACACCTGGATTGGCACAACGTGGGATCCCTGCCCTGGAGGCCCGACCACGGCTGGGAAAAGGGGATGGGAGAAAAATGGGCTAAAACACGAAGGTTTTGAGCCACGCAGGAGAACGTTGAGCAGCGACAGAGGACAGGGCTGAGCCCTCCCGGCTCACAGCCCTCCTGCAGCACAGGGGGAAAGCCCCAGTGTGGGAGCATTGCTGTGGTTGGGGGGATGCAGCACTGCTCCCACCCCGAGGGAAATGGCCCTGTGTGGGAGGGGGTGACAGAGGGTGATAATTATTGCCACCGGGAGAAAACCATCCCGGATGGATCCAAAGGCACGGCCCCATCTGGAATTCCACGTTTCGTGCCATTGATCAGTGAGGGACAGAGTTTTGATACCGAAATTGGGAGAGGGGCTGCGGGAATGCTTTTGTTTCAGAGAATTCCACTCTAAGCCAAACCTCCCCGCTTTGCGCCCGTCGCAAAAAGAACCCCAGGACGGGGAGGCAGCACCAGCTTCTCCCTGGATTTCTCACCCCCTGGAGGATTCGTGGCGGGACACGGAGGCACCGCTGGCCCGTGTGAGGTCAGAGGGGACGGGGTGACATCACAACATCCCTGGTGAAGCTGCCACCCGTCCAACACCCACCCCACGGCCGGGGGGGCCGGAGGAGAGGCTGGACTTCACCAGGGAGCTGGATCAAACCCCCCCAGCTGCCACCAAACACCAATAAACCAGATCTTACTCCAGCACAGCTGATCTGAGACGCATCAACACCATAAGTTCTGAGAGAAAAACCTCCCCCAGAAGCCCCACACGGTGCTGTTCCCTCTTCTGCCCAAACTCCTGTCTCCTCCACTCCACTTGGAAAGATTATTTCCTAAAAAACAGTGATTTGATTTAGCACAAGGCAGGAAAAAAGCCATCAAACGAGGGCTCTAATCCTCGCTAACAATCTTTCCTGATATCTGAGCTCGCCACTTAGGGTAAAACAATGTTAATTCTTTCAAAAGAAAAGAAAACTTCAATCCTGACGGGAAAGCAGCAGCAGCTCAGCTGCTCCAAAGGAAACTTCTAACCCTGCAAAACGACTGTGATTAATCAGCTTGTCCACGTTGTCTAAATAGTCCATCGAACAGGAATTAAAAATAATAATCCAGAAATTATAAAATCACACACAATAACTGGAAAGCTCTTTCCCATTTCTCTTTTGTTTATTGTTCAAACTTGTCAAACCACTTTCTTTGGTTAAAACAGGCTGTTCGGGGATGAAAAGGCAGAGTCCCTTTCAGCAGATGGACTTTCAGAATGAAAAATGTTCTAATTATTACACTTTTCATTAAATCAATTATCCTCCCAAATTGTTCTCGTGTTTATCTCTGCCAATCAGCAGCAAAGCCATGGAACAATCTGTTGTCACCATATTTTTCTCCTCCAGGTACATTTGTTCAGATTTTTGCTACAGCAGCTCCAGCTGAGATAAGAACAATCTACTGCCTGCCTTTTCTTTGATGTCCTATAACAAACACATATATTAAACGAGATTTGTTGAGCTAAATTCCATCATGCACTAGACTAGAGCTGAAATTACCAAGGGAAAACCATTCAGAATTACCTCTTTTGCTCTAAATTTACCCGTTTCACTGCAAATAACGATACAAAACTCAGTGGATCTTCTCCAGGACCACTGAATATTTAGTAAAGTAAAGAAATATAACGCTGGGAAAAGCGTCCTCCGTGCTTCAGGCACAAGAAACCCCAAATTCTCACGAAGAAAAACCCCACAGTCCCCCTGTTCCTTCAGACAAAGGCTCTGGAAAGAGGACAGACACTTACCTTTAAACTCACCCAAAGAAAAAACTACTTCCCAAAAGTTTGCAAGCAAAAAAAAAAATTATTATTATTATAATAATAATCATCATAATAATCTCAGGGAAAGCTAAAGACAACCAGGGTCTACCAGGGAGAGGGTTTCAACTGCGTTTATTCAGAGCTCCTTCCCTGCTGCCTTTTTCTTTTTTTTTTTTTTTAATATACTTTTTTTTTTTTTCACGTGCCGTTTCCAATACCTTCAAACCCCCTCGTTAAGGTGACGGCGACAATCGCGATACGGGATCCCCGCCGGGACACGGCCCCGAGCGGCCGCTGCCCCGAGGATTGTCCGGCGGGACAAAGGCTGCAAATTAAAGCAGCAAATTAAAGCAGCTTCGATAAAGCCCCAACTTTAACGCTCGAGTTGAAATGAAAAATTATGGGCTGCGCAGTTCGTAAAGGGAGAACCGGCCGAAGGTCTCTCCCCCCCGAACACGCTGCGGAGCCCAGGGCGAAGGGGAGGGAGGCGGGAAGGGGGGGCAGCTTTGGAGCTGCCTTCGCACTCAACAGCTCCCACCAAAGCCCCCTCTCCTGGAACCTTAAAAACGGGATCTGCTTTACTGCCCACCAAGATAATGCCTCAGAGTGACCCCTCCGCCGCCAGCATCCCTCAGGTTTAATCCTTATCCGCGCGGAAGAGCCGCTTGCTAAGGAAAATGAGACCGTGTGATCCACAGAAATCCATAAAGATTATTTCTGTTGAGAGAAATATTTGCGCTTATCCACAGATAACGCCGGGAAGCTCCCGGCGCTCCTTCGCTTTTGTTGGTTTGTTTCGATGACAAAAAGTTGGTCAACTCGGCAAAACTTTTTTTTTGGGGGGGGGAAGAAGAAGAAGAAGGGGGAGGCCGCTCCTTCCACCGCAGGGTCTCCAGCCTGGGCTGGTGCGGGAAAGGGATGCGGGACCGGGATGCGGGAAAGGGATGCGGGTCCCACACCGCGCAGCAGCCGAGCCCGGTCCGGCCCCGCGGGGAAGGACGAGACGGGACCACTAGGCTGAGAAATAGATATAGAAGAAAAAATATATAATAATATTATATCAACGTATAAATAAATAGTTATAAAGAGGAATAATAATAATAATAATAATAATAATATAATAATAATAATAAAGGGGGACGCGGTGGGGTGTCGCAGGCGGAGGGGGCGCTGCCGGACGCCCTCAAAAAAAAGTTTTAAAAAAAGAGAAAAAGAAAATAAAAGAAAGAAAAGAAAAAGCGGATCGGGGTATTTTCGGGTAGTTTCGGGGTTCCCCACCACCCCTCTGCCCCCAGCGGGGGCGGCACCGGGACGGGAACGGAACCGACACCCGCCGCAACCCCCTCCCCGCTCCCTTTCGCGCCGTTCCTGAGCCTCTGGCGCTCTCGGACGGGCGCGGTCCGCCGCCACCGCGGGGGAATTCGCGGGGGACCCCCCCGGGAAAGCAGCAGCGGTGGGACGGGATGGGATGGGAATGGGATGGATGGGACGGGACGGGATAGAGGGGGGGGGGTCCCCCCACCGCCCTCCGCTCTGCCGCACGGCTGGAGCTGCTTTTCCCCCCGGAGCCGCGGCGCTGGATGGGATGGGATCGGGATGGGATGGGATGGGATGGGATAGGGGGTTAAAGGGGGGTTGTCCGTGCGCGCTCCCGCGGCCCCTCCCGGCGTGGGTGTGCGCGTGTGTCCCGTCCCCCCCTCCGGCACCGCGGCCCCGCCCCTCGCGCGCGCGCGCGGGGGGGCCGGCCAATTTTTGCGGCGGGGCCCCGCTGCCCCCCGCGCCGCGCTCCCCATTGGCGAGCGCGGCCCCCCGCCCCCGCGCGCGGCCCCGCGCGGGCTATTTTTAAAGGCGCGCGGCCCCGCGCCTGCGGCCGCAGAGCCCGCGCTGGAGACCGGCGGGGCTGCCCTCCTCCCTTCCCCTGCCACCCCTACACGGCCCGCGACGCTCCGCCACGGCGAGAAAAAGTTTCCTCTTCTACCCCTTCCTCCTCGTTCTGGAGTTTTTTGGGTTTTTTCGCTTTTTTTTTTTTTCGTCTTTTTGCTTTTAATCTTTTTTTTTTTTTTGACTGAAAGTAATAAAAAAGTTTTCGCCGACTTTTCCTTTTTTTTTTTTTTTTTTTTTTTTTTGCCGGCTCTTTCCTTTCTCCCGCCGCTGGTTTGAAGCTGCGCTTCGTTTCTTCCCTGAAGTTTTGCCTTTTTTAACTCTTCGCCCGCCCACTTAGCTTCGACTTTTTTCGATTTTCTTAAAAAAAGAAAAAAAAAAAAAAGGCAAAACTTTTTTTCGTCCCTTGATCCCCCCCCCGGCCGCTTTCTCGCATGAATCTCCTCGACCCTTTCATGAAAATGACAGAAGAGCAGGACAAATGTATCTCCGACGCCCCCAGCCCCACTATGTCGGATGACTCCGCCGGGTCCCCCTGTCCCTCTGGATCCGGGTCGGACACGGAGAACACCAGACCCCAAGAAAACACCTTCCCCAAGGGGGACCCGGACCTGAAGAAGGAGAACGACGAGGACAAGTTCCCGGTGTGCATCCGGGAGGCGGTGAGCCAGGTGCTGAAGGGCTACGACTGGACCCTGGTGCCGATGCCGGTGCGGGTGAACGGCTCGAGCAAGAACAAGCCGCACGTGAAGAGACCCATGAACGCCTTCATGGTGTGGGCGCAGGCGGCCCGAAGGAAGCTGGCGGACCAGTACCCGCATCTGCACAACGCCGAGCTCAGCAAGACCCTGGGCAAGCTCTGGAGGTGAGCGCGGGGCCGGGATGATGCCGGGGGGGACCGCGGGATGCTGCGGGGGCTGCGGTTGCAGAGTCCGCTCCAGCCTGGACCAGCGGTCGCGGGAGGCAGAGGATGTTCCCAGCCTGGAAGAGTCGCTGAAAACTTTTGCATGTGCTGGCGAACTTGTTTGGCGCAGGAGAAGCCAGAATAGTAGGGGGAAAGTAGGGAAAGCGGTTTCCCGTGGCCGCTTTCTGGTCTTGGAAGCGGTTTCTTTTCCCCGAGCGATGCTCGGGAACGGAGGGGGCACCGTGCGGGCCTGGCGGAAGCCCCGCCGGCCGTGCGAGCGGGGGCTGCCCGGCGCTGTTTGTTTTTGTGCTCACCGGGTCCAGAGGAAATGATGCGGTTTGGGGATTGCATCAGCTCGGGCCCGGGAGGGAGGAGTGTCGGGAGGCGGGGCGATGCGGGGGCGCTGGGAGGGGGCGGCGGTGCCAAGCTCCGGAGTTGGGTGGCGGCGGCGAGGGCGCATGGCCGGGTGGCCTCGACTGCCAAAATAAGCAGGGAGGGGAGAAAAACAGAAGGCAAGTGAGTCACCTGGCCACCGCGCACATCTGTGACTGCCACAAGGGGCGGGGGGGGGAGATCCTAAATTTGTGGCAGGAGGAGAAATGAGTGAGCAAACCTGGCCCTGGCAGGCAGCGATGGGGCTGTCCCCAAAGCACCCGGGGACAGGGACATGTGCCCACGGGGTGGGGAGGGCGAGGGCTGGACCCCGGTGCAGCTCCCGCACCTCTTGCCTGGCCACTGAAGCAACCTGGGGGGTGACAAGCAGCGAGTGCCCCATGCAGGGGGCTCGGCATCGTGGGGGGCTTTGCATCGCCAGCGGGGGAATCCAGGGGAGAGACGCGAGCTGGTGTTAACGCGCTAATGCCCCCTCCCTGAGCCGCAGCTGACCCCTCGCACCCCCCGTGTCCCCCCCCAGGCTGCTGAACGAGAGCGAGAAGCGTCCCTTCGTGGAGGAGGCTGAGCGGCTGCGGGTGCAGCACAAGAAGGACCATCCCGACTACAAGTACCAGCCGCGGCGGAGAAAGTCGGTGAAGAACGGGCAGTCGGAGCAGGAGGAGGGCTCGGAGCAGACCCACATCTCCCCCAACGCCATCTTCAAGGCGCTGCAGGCCGACTCCCCGCAGTCGTCCTCCAGCATCAGCGAGGTGCACTCCCCCGGGGAGCACTCGGGTAGGTACCCACGCACCCACGAGGCATTTTGGGGGGGGACGGCGCAGCTACAGCTCCCTAAGAAAAGTTGCAGCCCAAACCGGCTGGGATTGGGTAAGGGAGGGAAAAGGAGACCCAGAAATGCAGTGAGAAGTGAGAAGTGGGGCAGAGCTGCCCACAAGCTTTGCCCGTGGCACGGGCACGTGCCACTGCAGCCACTTGCACCCCCCCCCTCACCCCGTGCACGTGAGAAACGTAAAGTTACGCTTTAAAATAAATAAATAAATAAATAAAAAGCACCCTAAAAACTTGGCCCACGTTACAGCTCACATCTGAGGGCTCAGTTATTTCAGCCAGTGCAGCAGGCTGGTGCTGACAGGGCTCACGTCTGAGCCCCTCACACCTGGGAGTGTTACCCCACACGACCACAGGCACTGTTCCTCTGCCCCCCATGGGGGGGTTAACCATTAACTGAGTTATCACAGCGACACCCCCTCACCCCTGTCCCCCTTCCTTCCTCCCACAGGGCAGTCACAGGGCCCCCCACGCCCCCCACCACCCCCAAGACGGACACGCAGCCCGGCAAGCAGGACCTGAAGCGGGAGGGCCGCCCCCTGCAAGAGGGTGGCCGGCAGCCCCCCCACATCGACTTCCGAGACGTGGACATCGGGGAGCTGAGCAGCGACGTCATCTCCAACATCGAGACCTTCGACGTCAACGAGTTCGACCAGTACCTGCCTCCCAACGGGCACCCGGGGGGCCCAGCCGCGCACGGCCAGCCCGGCCAGGTCACCTACACGGGCAGCTACGGCATCAGCAGCACGTCGGGCTCCCCGGCGCCGGCCACGTGTGGATGTCCAAGCAGCAGGCGCAGCCCCCGGCGCAGCCGCAGCCCCCGGCGCAGCACGGGCTGCCGGCGCTGAGCGGGGAGCAGGGCCCGGCGGCGCAGCAGAGGACGCACATCAAGACGGAGCAGCTGAGCCCCAGCCACTACAGCGAGCAGCAGCAGCACTCCCCGCAGCAGATCAACTACAGCTCCTTCAACCTGCAGCACTACAGCTCGTCCTACCCCACCATCACCCGCTCCCAGTACGACTACACCGACCACCAGAACTCCGGCTCCTACTACAGCCACGCGGCGGGGCAGGGCAGCGGCCTCTACTCCACCTTCACCTACATGAACCCCACGCAGCGCCCCATGTACACCCCCATTGCAGACACTTCGGGGGTCCCCTCCATCCCCCAGACCCACAGCCCGCAGCACTGGGAACAGCCCGTCTACACGCAGCTCACCAGGCCCTGAAGCCGCCAAGGAAAGCGGGAAGAGAAAGAAAAAGAAATTTCGAGAAAAACAAACAAACAAAACAAAACAAAACAAAAAAAAAACAAATCAGAAAAGCGTGAAGGCAGCGAGAAGAACTTCCTTCAGACTTTTTTTTTTCCTTCTTTGAATTTGAAATAATAATTAAAAAGAGACGCTCAAGTGAAAGCTGGCGGGGAGGAGAGAGCGCCTCGAGCCTTCTGCACTACAGCATCCTCCAGGACCCGCCTGAGAGCCAGCAAAACTCGGTACACACTTGCCAAGGACTGGACTTGAACTCTGCTTTCAGCATGGAGAGGAGATTCCTACCCAACCCGCCCAGCTGTCTTGTTCTCTGGACTTTTGTAATGATTTTTTTTTTTTTTAGCAGTAACTAAAGGAAAAAAAAAAAAAAAGAAAAAAAAATGGGGGGTAAAAAAGAGAAAACTCAGAGTCCTCTGTGAGGAATATTCTCTATTTTAAATATTTTTAGTATGTACTGTGTATGATTCATTACCAATTCGAGGGGATTTATACGTATTTTTTAGAGATTTTTTTAAGACGCTCTTATTTTTCCAACAGCTTAAAAAAAAAAAAAAAAAAACGACACTTAGTGGAGCAGCGCTAGGCTTTCTTGCAGTCAGAGGTATTTTTGTATAGATAAGTGTCTTTTTTTTTTTTTTTTCTCTCTAAAAATAAAACTAAACCAGCGTGCTTTGACCTGGGAACCAAGCTCTGTACGTGGGCAGCGTCGGGCACAGCGCTGGGCAGCGCTCGGGCTGTGCAGGGACCAGCATGGGAGAGGCTTTATTTTTCTAACTCGTAGCAAAAACCAGCCAGGAGAAGAGTTTCTCCGCTTTATTTTTTAATAACCTCGAGCCTTAAGAAAGAAAAACAAAAAAAAAAAAGATTTAAATCAACTGGGCCCCAGCCCGAGGCGCTGGGGAGAGGCCTTAAAGCAGCCCCGGGGGAATCCCCGGGCCCCAGCTCTGCCTGGCCCTGGGCTGGGGGGGCTGAGCTCCACCCCCCCCGGGCACCCCTGGCCACCCCAGGCCTGATGCAAAGCCCGTCCAGGGGCTCCTCTCTGCTTGCAGGACATCACAGATACTTTAAATTATTTATTTTGGGAGAAGAGCAGTTTTTAATCACAATTTTCCTCGGGTTTTTTTTTTGATCTCCCCTCTATTTTAAGTCCTTTCAAAAGCGATTGCATTAGTCAGAGCATTATTTGGAAGGTAACCGTGCCTGTTAAATTATGGTCTTGAACTGTAACCAGTCCTTTATTTATCTCTTTAATTCTTTTTTTTTTTGTTGTCGTTGTTATTATTATTATTATTATTCTTTTTGGAATCTGTGTCCTGGGTTTGTACAAACTTGTGCTCTTCCTTTTTTTTTTTTTTTTTTTTTCTCTTTTGTCTTAAGGATGAACTGGAAAAAAAAAATAAGATTTGTACAAACTAAAGATTGCAAATGTAGCGTATCACTGAATCATTTGCCTTGTTTTCTGCCTCAGCTCTCTGGGACACACGAGCTCGTGCGAGGACGAGACCCAAGGCCCCAGCCCTGCCTGGGGGTGGCTCTGTTTTAGCCTTCCATCCCCCCCAAAACTGCCTTCAGAGCTGGGGGGACACTGACTTTGGTGAAGCTGTGGCTGAACAGTTAAGGATTGCTTTTTAAAAAAGACAGCAAACTTTTTTTATTTAAAAAAAAAATGATATATTTGTTAACAATTTTTTTTTTTTTTTTTAGGGATTCAGTAGAAGAAAAAAAAATCTTAAAGCACTCTTATAATATGGCATCTTTCTATTTCTGTATAAAAGCAGATCTTTTTAAAGTATTTCTGTAACTTAAAAGACCTGTCATTTAAATCATATTTTGTCTTTAGGTAAGTTTGGTTTGGTTTGTTTGCAAGATCCTTCTCTCTGTGAAACTTACCTTTTTTTTTTTTTGTATATTATTGTTTGCAATAAATATACATTGTATTAAAAATTAAACCATGCCCCAGGTGTCTGATTCATTATCAGCCTCCAAGGAGCACTGGGGCCAAGCTGGAGCCCTGGGATGGTTTTGGGTTCACTGATGGGGTTTGGGGTGTCCCTCCTCTTTTATCAGGGCAGGCTCTGAGTGCAGCATCCCAGGGAAACCAGAGCCAGGGAATAAATGGGAGCTGGAGATGAATAAAGCCAGACTGGACAGTTCAGGGGCTCCAGCTGTCCCCCAGCCCCACTGGCTCTGATCCCTCTCCCTGGGTTGTCTGCTCTGAGCTGCCTGGCTGGGGGGGATGCTGAGCACCAGATGGGGGGAAAGGCTTTCAGGTCATTCTTACAAAACTGCTGCAATCCTCCAATCCTGCCAAACACAACCCCATCAGCCCAGACTGATCAAAAAGCCGAGATCTCCTGAAGAGCCAAGCAGGACATGTGCCATCCTCGAGGATCAGTGTCACTGCTCATCCCCGGGCCATGGTCCCCCAGAAACACAGCACAGACACTCCAGGAAGGAAAGACCCCCCAGCTCAGCCAGACATTGCTTTTCCTATCAAATCCATCCCAAATAAATCACTATCAAATCCATCCCAAAGAATCACTAAATCCTCTGGGGCAGCTCAGGGTGCTCCAGGCAGGCCCCAGCCCATGGCTTTGCCACCTCACCCCACTGCTGGTGTCACTGCAGAGCTCGCTGGTGACACCAGTCTGTGCAGGTCCCCTCCCTGACTGTCCCTCCAAGGCCACAGTTTTCACACGTGAAAACTCCTGCAGAAGTGTCCCAGCCTGTCCCAGACTCCACGGGGAGCTGGCACAGGGCAGCCCCACGCCAGAGCCGAGCTGCTGTGGGGCACCTCGAGGCACAGCACACAGCCCCAGCCCCCCAGGCTGGGCAAACCCCACTTTGCCAGCAGTTTATCCTCTCTGCACTCTTTCCCTGGCTGAAAAGCCATCCTGATCCCAGCAGCGAGCCCTGCTCCGGAGCCCCGGAGCACACGGAGCTCGTGGCCACCACACCGAGCCTCCCCAGCGGGGTGAGACGTTTTTACACTTCAGCCGGTTCCCTGCCAGGGGTTCGTTTACCCTGAGCGTTACTGGGGTCAGTGTCACTCCACCTGTGCCATCGGGCACCGCGGGCTGGGAACGCTCCGTTCCCGGACATTTCCCCGCAGCACACGGCGCGTTTCCCCTGCCCCCCAGCCGGACTTTGCCCGCTGCGAGTTTTGGCTTTGCTGCTTCTTTGGATAAAAGAACAAACACGGCTCCCGGAGTTGTGTCGAGGAAGCAGCCGGGAGCCTCGGGGAGAGCTCGGCGGGGCCACGGCCAGCACGGCACTGCCGAAACAATCCCAGAAACCAGACAGCGCCTTTCCGATGCTCGCGTGGGTGGGATGGGCCGTTACCCAGCAACACGCTGGAAAACATCCCAAAGTTACGATAGCCATCGCCTGCCTCTCCAGGAGTCTGGGTCAGCAGGGACCCTTCACATCCCTCCCCCTGTTTGCACTGGGTGCAGCGAGAGCCGGAGGGTGGGAGCGGGGCAGGTCCAGCAGGGATGTCTGCGTGGGATCCGGCAGGGATCCCTGCCAGACCCCGAGCAGGCAGCCCAGCACAGCCCCAGCTGCTCCCGGGGGGTGCGGTGGCTTTGCTGTCCCAACACAGCCCCGCTTGGCTCCCCTCTCTCTCCCGTTCCATGAGCTCCACCTTCCCGCCGGAAGCATCCCGGGGATATCTTCCTCACAAGAAACCAAAAGAGCAAAGCTCATGACCCAGCCCTGGACCTGCAATTTCTGCACTGTTTACTCATGGTGTGGGCTTTAATGCTCTTGGCCTCCACTCGGGAAAGCCAAAGCTGGACGCGGGTCCCTGCGCAGCTCCAAACTTCCTGCCCACCCACCGCTCCGGGGGGCTGCGCCCTGCGCGGGGTGGGGAGGGGGATAAAGGGACACGCAGAGGGGGAAAAACGCTGGAAAAGCCGCGCAGCTTCGGGGCACCGTGTGCTAGAAAGCAGAGCAGGAGGGGTGGGGAGAGAAATAATAAATGAACCGGAGGGAACTCGCACAATTGCGGGCAGGTTTGGAGCCGCGCAGTAAGGGCGGGGGGGGACAGATGCGCGGCGGGCGGCCGCAAGCTGCCCGGCAGGGTGGGGGCACGGGGGGAGCCCCAGGAACCTGCAGAGGCGAGGGGTTGGGGGGTGGCAGGGGGCTGAGCACGCGCGGGCTCTCGTCTCCTGCACTGCGGCGGTCTGCCTTAGTGAGGGGTTTGGGGTTTTTCGTCGGTACAGAGGAAAAATAAGCTATTTCAAAGAAAAATAAGCTATTCAAAATAACGAAAAAAAAAAAAAACCAACGGGGAGACAGTTTGAAAGCAGCCCCAGGGCACAGCCCCGGCTCCCCGTGATGCCCCGGTGATGCCCCGGTGATGCCCCGGTGCGGCCGCCTGCAGCGGCGGCAGCTGCTCCCAAACCCAGCCGCAGTTTGGATTTTCCCCACCTGCATTTCCCCAGCCAGCTGTTGGTGCTGACATCGCATGAAAGCCGGGGCTTTCTCCAAGAGGGAAGGCAAGCAGCTCGCAGCCAGCTGTGCCGTGCCGGGATCCTGGGATCGGCCGCGGCTCCTGCCCAGCTGCGGCGTTTGGGACACGGACCAGCCGCGGATCGGCACGGCCAAGGTGTTCCTGGGGTTTCTCTTTGCCCTTTTCAGGGCCCAGTTCCAGGAATCAGGTGGTTCAGCGAGATAGAGATTTGTAGGTAAAAGTGAAAGAGCAGCGAGTTGAGTTTCCCCCTCTGCGTCTGGCGTTTGCCTCCCTCGGGACCACACTCGGCTCCCGGCAGGGAACTGCTGCCACCCAGGAGAGGTGTCAGGAAGGGAGGGCAAACACGAGCCCCCTTTCTCTGCTGACACCAGAAAAATTCGGCTAAGATACTTGGATACGATGCTGTAAAGATGGAAAAGGTGGGGAAAGAGAACTTAGAGACTCAGGGCGCAAACGGGTCCAAGGAATCAGGCAGGATACAAAA